GTGGTGGTTCATTACACTGTGACAAACCAGGGAACATTAAAACTGACATTAATTAAATGTAAACAAATGTTGTCATTTCTGGTATTTACAATTTAGATTTAATCCAAGTAGAGCAATGTAAACAGCAAACATTGTAATCTATGCTTGGTCGGTTCAAATAATGTAGTGTAAAAAAACTGAAACATCAATATCTGTGCATTGCACCATTACAGTTTTTCTCAGTTTTAGTTCATTTCTCAGATCAGAATCGAATTTTTCAAAACTACCTGTTCAATCTTCACATCATTGTGTCACTTGTGCACATCAAAAAAGCAATTTCTCATTCCTTTGAACAAGTTGCAAATGCTTTTGTACATTTTTGCTAATGGTTATGTGCAGTTCTCTGATGTTTCCTACATTTTCAATTGCTTATGTCATGTTGATCAAAATGTATTATTTTGGCCTCTGTTGCATAGTCTCACCGCCACAACATTAACAGATTTTTCAGTCGCTTTGGTGCATTTGCCACAACACTATTTACATTTGCACAACAGTTAATGCATTTCTCAATACAATTAGGTAGTTAAATGGCTTTGTTTTCATTATGACAGTTTACTCTGTACATTTTTTCTAATGCAAAAGAGTCAGATTTTGGTGACACTTCCTGAAAATGCTCAAGACAGCAATATATATTATTTGCACAGCCATTTGAAAACTAAAGTAAAATTAGACATCACTGCATTTACCGTTTTTCTGAGTGGCTTTGGTGCATTTCTCACAACACTATTTACATTTGCACAACAGTTAATGCATTTCTCAAAACAATTCATCATTTGTGCACATTATAGTAGCAGTTTCTCATTCCTTCCAACAGATTGCAAATGCTTCTGGACATGCAATAATTGCTTTCATACAACTCTCTGCTGTTTATAACATTATCATTTACTTATGTCATGTCAGTCAAAATTAACTAAACTTGTGAAGGCTGAATAAGTCAGTCCATATAAAACTAATAGTCCTCATTTCAAAGTAATTTTTTTTTTTTTTTTCCTGGAAATGTCTTTTAAATTGAACAATTTCATAAATGATTTACAGACCTGTGTATGTTGTAGGTTCAGTTCCAATATGCACTGCAATATTGTTTAGAATTGTGCATAGCGCTACCCAAAGGAAGTTTATATTTGTTGTAAATAATGTGTATTTATTCTTTTGCACAATGCTTTAAATAAATTAGAATTGCAAAGAGCAAATGCTGTAAAAATGTGAAACACATATTCAGTGTCGTACTCAAATATCTCACTAAATGCAGTGGTCTATCTTTACTGTATTTTCAAATGGCTGTGCAAATAGTATACAGTGCTGTCTTGAGCATTTTCAGGAAGCGTCACCAAAATCTGACTTTTTTTGCATTGGAAAAAATGTTCAGAGTAAACTGTCTTAATGAAAACATGAAAAAGCCATCTGACTATCTTGTTCATAAACAATGGTGTCAGATCTTTTTATCTTGAAGACACTGACACTTTTATTGATATGAATACTTGCTTTTGAGGAATGAGCTTTCCATTTTAAGCAAGTGACACGCTTTTGGAGGTTATCTACTAGGTTTTGCCGTTTGTACTAATTGTTTTGAGAAATGCATTAACTGTTGTGCAAATGGCGAGGCAGTGGCGCAGTAGGTAGTGCTGTCGCCTCACAGCAAGAAGGTCGCTGGTTTGAACCTCGGCTCAGTTGGCGTTTCTGTGTGGAGTTTGCATGTTCTCCTTGCCTTCGCGTGGGTTTCCTCCGGGTGCTGCGGTTTCCTCCACAGTCCAAAGACATGTGGTACAGGTGAATTGGGTAGGCTAAATTGTCCGTAGTGTATGAGTGTGTGTAAATGTGTTTGTGGATGTTTCCCAGAGATGGGTTGCGGCTGGAAAGGCATCTGTTGCGTAAAAACTTGCTGGATAAGTTGGTGGTTCAGTCCACTGTGGTGACCCCGGATTATTAAGGGACTAAGCAGACAAGAAAATGAATGAATGAATGTTGTGCAAATTTAAATAGTGTTGTGAGAAATGCACCAAAGTCACTGAGAAAAACTGTTGTGAAGTATCTGGGTACAAGACACTGAATATGTATGATTTACATTTTTACTGCATAAACTCTTTACAATTCCAATTTATTTACAGCGTTGTGCAAAAGAATAAATACACCCTTGTTTACAGCAAACATAAACTCCCTTCAGGTAGAGCTATGCACAACTGTGAACATTATTGCAGTACATATTGGAACATAACCTACAACATACATAGATCTGTAAATCATTAATGAAATTGTTCAATCTAGGAGACATTTTCTGGAAAAAAAAATTTTTTTTTTAGAAAATTAGCTTGACAGATTTTGACAACTAGTTTAACATTTTTGTATGGAATGACTCAAGTAATGAAATTAGGACTATTAGTTTTATATGGAATGACTTTTCAGCATTCACAAGTTTAGTTAATTTTGCCTGACATGACATAAACAAACAATAATGTTATAAAACAGCAGAGAGTTGTATGAAAGCAATTAATGCATGTCCACAGGTATTTGCAATTTGTTGGAAGCAATGAGAAACTGCTACTATGATGTGTACAAATGACTAATTGTTTTGAGAAATGCATTAACTGTTGTGCAAATGTAAATAGGGTTGTGAGAAATGCACTAAAGTGACTGAGAAAAACTTTAATATTGTTCATGGCATAAGTCTTTACATGCAAAATGGCTGAACAAGTTGTCATAATATTTTGCATTTTTCTATCCATTTTAATTAGACTTTTTTCTAACTCAGTCTACAATCGGTAAATTTCTCCCACATAAATCTTGACTTTTCTAATGAAGGTCTAAAAGGAGGTTGTCCTATGTTCACATTTCTATTTTTTTTTTTCTATGCAGTGCTGCACTTTCTGTGTCACAATGACATGAGCAACAAATTATAGTACAAACAGAAAAAAATGCCATCGTTTACACCAGAACACCCCTTCAAAGTACACTGTTGTATTGACAACATGACTGAGTAATTTGACTGTCTTATTCATACACAATGACACAAGGACAAAATGACGTAATTCTAACGGCACTGACCTATTTATTGATACAGAAATGTAGTTTTTAGAGATGAACTATGGATTTTGAGCAACAGACTGGCTTTTGCAGGTAATCCATGGTGTTTTGCTATATGTGTATTGTTTTAAGAAATGCACTTAATGTTTTGCAAATTTCAATTCTGATATGAGAAATGAACCAAATTGTCTGAGAAGAACTGCGGAACAACAACTATGTGGTTAAATCAAACGTTTCAAACAAATTTTTAAATGTTTTTTTTAGTGTGATATGTATATAAATGATTTTATAGTGAAAATGACCCCTCCAATTCCCTTTAAGAGTCAGTTGATTTGAGCCACCATGGCACATTTGCTGTTTACATGTCGGACTTTGTAAGTGGAAAAAGTGAACGCTTCACTAGCAAGAAAACAGTTAAACAGATCATCTGCAGCAAGGATAAAGAATGACCGTCCTCCAATCGGCCTTTACTTTCACTTTCTCTCTTTCGTGGATAAGGAAACGTGTTGTATGCACAAACATCCATTAGCCTACATAATTATTTTCATTTTCATTTGTTGTTAAGCGCAAAGATTTGTTTTAAAACTATTTCTGAATTCCGTTCTAATTTCCACAAACAGATAAATGAACAATAATAACGTAGTGTGGTCAAAATACTGAGTTATATCCAAACACACGTTCTATGCACCATATGTTCTATGCACCAAATCTAAGCTTGTTTTAAATAAAACAAATATCAATATGCATATAATAAATACTACTACTAAAAATAATAACAACATTTTACAAAAGCAAGTTGTCGTAAATAAACTGAAAAAAAGCCCTCGAGATGAAAAAGGCATGGAAGCAGTGGTTTTTATATAGAAAGTTATCATTTTTGTAATATTTTAAACCTTACATTTTTTAAATTTCATTTTAAGATCTCGAAGCACAAGTGTTCCAAAACATTTTTGTACAGACTATGTACTGCAATCAGCTCCATGAATGATTTAAATAATATATTTCATATATATATATATATATATATATATATATATATATATATATATATATATATATATATATTATAATCCTATCAATAATTTTCTAATTATTTAATAAAATAGTTATTTAACTCAATTTGTCAAGAAATATATATATATATATATATATATATATATATATTATACCTTGCTCTTTAAAGGAAACTTCTAAAGTGTAGCTTGCTTATTTTAGGAATGTCCTTTTGTTCAATCTTTTTGGATTAAAGTTTTTTTTTAAATGCTTCATTATCTAAAATAATCTTAATCATTTTAAGAGTTAAGTTTAAGACTTAATCAAAACAATTGTTTTGAGGTTTACACTAATATATATTGGAAAGTTTATATCTATAAATGTAAATAAATGCAAACCCCTTTTTAGCATATTCAAACAAGAAGTATTAGTCTAAAGAGGGATGTTTTAATTGTTTAGAATTTGTCCTTATTGCTTTGTATTTACTATTCATTTTTATGTTTATATTACCATTTCGTTTCCCCTTCTCTCATGCGCTTGTTATTTATTTCATAATACTCTTATTGTGTAAAATGAACTAATTTGACTGTATTCTTTTTTATTTGTACTGTAAATCTTTTGTTGTATTAAAAAAATTAAAAATGATGATGACGCCAAGTGATCGGTTATCATGACTGCCGCAACCTTGAGCCCTTGAACTGTCCGGCTTGAGGGCTCCGTTTTCAACTCCGCCCCCGCCTGCACTCGGCTAATCTCGTTGATTAACGGCTGCCTTTTTTCATGCCTTGCTCTGCCCATCACTATTGAAATCCGTGTGCATATACCCCATTCAAATAATTATTGCGATATTTGCCCACAAATCTTTGAAGTTTTATGCCAACTGTCATTAAAATATGCAAGAATGAGAACTGCTATTCTACTCCAATCCAGTAGATGTCGGAATACGCACATTCAGGTTGGTTTGCCAACCACCAAAGAAGATCTGCTTTTCTTTTGATTTTACAAGCGAAAATGTTACCTCCACCGGCCGTATATCACTTTCCTTCTGAGATCAGCACATTGAAAGATGGAGCATCAGTTCGAACATTTGGCAGGTCCGTCTATTGTGGATTTCAAAGTTGTTGTAGGTACAGTTTAATCGCACTTACTTTATTCAACGGTATAATCTAGTTGAATTATTGTGTAAAAGTAGATCTTACTTTCAGGTATATTTCTAAATGTTGCATTGTAAAACTCATGACATTATGATTTGCTTTTTAAAATATATGTTCTTAAGGCAATTTTAGTGAAATAAAATTAAATGACATTGATTTGTGTTAACCAAAATTTAAAATTCAGTTATCCTTTTTCTCATGCTTGACCTCCATAATAGAAAAAAAACATAAAATATGAAAGTCAATGCTGACAGGTTCCCCACTTTCTGCAAAATATCTTCTTTTCTGTTAAACAGAACCCATCGCAGCATTTGGACAATTATTTGGACTCAATAGTGAAATAAAACTACTTTTTCACTATTATAGCTGCCTTTAGGAAAACAGCACAGTGAAAATAAAAACAATGTCCACTCGTTCCCTGGAATTCAATATTAGCTAGATATATAATCTTTTGGAATAAAACGAGGAGTCAAAAGCTGCATTTAATCTCTTGCTTTTCTGACTTGCATTACTGACATGCTGCGAACAGTGAAAAGGTTTATCTAATATGTGCATTACTTCAGCAGAAAATGACTCCTCCTTCATTTAAATTCTATTCAAGTGTATTTGTATTATTGTTCCAAAGCAGCTTTATAAATGGTTCATGTTATTACATTATAGTAAAAATCAGCTAGTTAAAGTTGCTTGAAAGGTGTAAAAAGTTAAAGGTGCAATAGAGGATTGTCTTCAGAAAATTTTTTTGTTGTACTGGTTAAAGTCTCATTTACATTCCGATTGATTAAAGTAAATGATGTAAATCATCATGTGATTTCTCTATTTTAGCCTAAAAGCCTGATAAACTGTTGTTGTGCAATGAAAAGTAGCGTTACTAACCGATGAGCAAACATGCATGGACAGTGCTTCTACATAATTCACAGAAAGAGCAGTCAGAAAGGCGAAACTGATGGATTTGTGCTGAATATTAGCATCTTTGACTCTTAAGTATGTACAGTAGCTATAAATGTCAGTGTGTTTGCGTTCTCTTTATCCAGTTTCTATTCTAATTTGCAGTTAAGTGGAATAAATAAATAAATTGAAATGCAAGTTAAAGTATAAATAGCAGAAGTGAAAGGATAGATTTTCCCTTTGAGCAAATATTAGTATATATATAAGTACTGTATATTGATCGCAAGTGCTCAGTATTTGATCACATCTCGGTTTTGTTCTGTTGATATGTAATTTCAAATATCCGTAGCTTGAAACAGATGGAAATATGATTGCTATTAGTATGACTACTATGGCAAGGGCTCAAGTGGAGCAGTGCTCATAATATCAAGCGGGATAAAAATAGAAAAAGACAACTGAGAAACATAACCTGCTCTGTATTTTTGTTGGCAACACAATTTAGATCTTTTTAGGGTAAGAGGTGTGCGAGTTATTGCCGCCTATCACTGAATGTGAATGTTTAAAGCAAAAGCAACTTAACTCCACTGCTTTTGCTTTAGGCCCCTCCACAGCTTGATCCACGCTGGCATTTCTCCTCTTGGGTTTTAGGTTTTGAAAAGGAAAAAAACTTCACCACCCTGTCCAATCTTTAAGGAAACTGGGTATCAGATTTGCACAATCCATATGCACAACGCTTAGCTTGTTGCCCTCCCTCTAAAGCTTGACAGAGCCTCTGCGCGTAGCTAAGCCATGATTGGTGGGTGGCAGTTTTTGGATGTGGCTTAGCGAAGGGTAAATTAGTGCAATGAAATATAGCATTACAGACTGACGAGGAAACACACATGGACAGTGCTTCTACATAACTCATTCATAGACAGAAAAGGCGAGAAGGGGGAAATTTATGGATTTGTGCCAAATATCAGCATCATTTATCCATAACAATGACAGTAACTTTAACTGTCAGCATGTTTGAGTGCTTTTTAAACAGTTCTATTCTAATTTGCAGTTAAATGAAATAAATAAATTTAAATGAAAATCAAAATATAAAAAAACAGAAGTGAACAAAGATTTTCCATACCAGAAAATATTAATCCGACATCAAATATAAAAGCAGACACTAACGTGCTTTAACATCATCACCAATGACTAAATCTCAAAAGACAGACGAAAACATCTGTGAATTGTAGTTCTGACATGGGCATGGGGGTTATAAATTACTGAGAAACAGCTGCGGGTTAAGTATATTGATCGCAAGGGCTCAGTTTGTGATCATATCTGTTTTGTTCTGTTGAAATGCAATCCAAATATTCGTAGCTTGAAACAGATGGAAATATCACTGGATTGTGTTCGCTTTTACAGCTGTTGCTTAAACGGAGCAATGCCCATAAAATAGAGCAAAAAAAAAAAAAAGAAAGCTGTGAAACATAACCTGCTTTGTATTTTTGTATGAACACAGTTTAGATTATTTTAGGGTAAGAGGTTTTTGAGTTATTGCTATCTATCACTTATGTGTCAGTAATATCAAAAACAAAACCAACTTAATCCCGCTCTTTTAGCGCCTCTCACAGAGCTTGATCCATGCTGGCATTTTTCCCCTTAGGTTTTAGATTTTGGAAAGGGAAAAAAATTCCACCACCCTGTCCAAACTTTTAGGATATCAGGTATCAAATTTACGCACAACGCTTTGGCTTGTTTCCCTCGCTCAAAAGCTTGACAGACTTCCTGCGTGTAGCTACGGTTGCAAAGCCACGATTGGTGTGTGGCGGTTTCCGGGTGTGGCTTAGCAAAGGTTTAATTGTAAAACTTTACTGTTGTAAATATAATCCACACCAGCTAGTGTTAAAGTAACATTTTCAAAAGTGTTAACAATTTATCACTGACTCGAGTTAAATATTTTTTTCTTGTTTTATCAGTAATTATTCATACACTTTATAAATTCAATACATACTATGCTAGTCATGCATTATAAAACATTTAAACCTAATTATTGTTGGTTCAGAGCTAATTAGTGGTATAATAAGCAAATATAAAACAACAGTATTTCACATTTCATTTTTAGTGAAAAACTAAATTCCATGCATGTTGATGTGTAAAACATGTAAAGCATTATCCCTTGTAGTCATACAGAATATTTTGTTTTTAGAAAGGAATTAAAACACTGCCTAAACAGAGGAAAAGCATAAAAACATATGTATTCACATTTGGTCCATTTGCATTTTGAATGTTACAAGGTTTAATGTCATCAGCATCATAGCCTGAAAGTATCACAATGCACATTTATCAGCACTGCAACAAGCTTTCAACCACATAATAGACATTTTCACCCTATACAACAAAATTGATAATTTTACAGAACACTGGCAGCTCATGTTTGATCTCTGTGCATATTGCAAGCTTATGTTCAGTACCATCAAGTGTAGGCCAACTGAGCAATTGTCTTTTTGTATTGTGATTTGTAAATCATTAACCAAGTCTTCACTCAGACAAATAAAGAGAAAGTTCATTGCTCCAAATAATTTTCGCTGTATCCCAAAGCAATGTTATAGGCATTGTTTAAAAATTAAAAAATATTGTGCACTTAAGAGAGCAGAAGCACTTCAAACTTGTCATCTACAGCAATGTAGTACCATGGATAGAATATATGATTAATGATTTTGGCTTTTCCTAAGCTTCTCATGAATGCTGAAACACGACTACAAAGTGAAAACCAAAAACAAGTTACTCTTTTCATTTTAGTCTTTTAAAACATTTTATAGGTCAAAAAAAAGTTGGTAAATTGTATTCAACGCTTGAAAAATATTCCTAAGCAATGTTATTTAACAATGTTTTCAATGTAACCCCAAACACTAAACTACACTACTTTATCGTATGTAATCATTTCTCACTTTATTTAAAACTTCAGGGCAAATGTTTAATTAAGAATGTATAATTATTAATTATAATATTAGAAACACTTTTCAAACACTAATGATTAAAGGTCCAACATAAAATCGATGCTAAAAATACAAAATGTAAACATTGTACTTTAAAGATTTCAAGTTTGGGCTGCACGGTGGCGCAATAGGTAGCACGTTCACCTCACAGCAAGAAGGTCACTGGTTTGAGCTTCGACTGGGTCAGTGGCGTTTCCGTGTGGAGTTTGCATTTTCTCTGTGGGTCTTCTCCGGGTGGTCTGGTTTTCCAGAGTTAAAGTTAGCGGTTCATTCAATTGTGGCGACCCCAGATTAATAAAGGGACTAAGCCGAAAAGAAAATGAATGAGATTTTAACTTTCTCGCAATGCTGTTATTTGTCTGCCTGCATCCACATTAAGCAGTGTAATAGTGTCCTCATGAATTCTGAAAAAGTATTAATGTAAACAATATATTATCTGACACCACTAAATAAATGACAGAGCATGATAAATGAAACATTAATTGTTTTGTTTTGTACATAGGAAAAATCATACTCGAGTAAAAGTACCATTACTTGGCTAAAATGTTGTGCGAGTAGAGTAAAAGTAGCTGTTGTAAATATTACACAAAGTATAAGTAAAAAGTAGCCGTTTCAAAAGTATTCGTGAGTAGTGGGTATTATGCTGTAAAAAAGCTGATGCATTTACATGTAATTTGTACATGTGTGTGTAAATGTAACATTCTGTAGTGCATTTAGTTATTGCTCAGCAGACACATAACATCATAAGATGTAATATTAGGTTAGATTTAGGTTGTGATGTCAGCTGACCAAAATTCAATGTCTATACAGCGTCTACGGACAATGGTATTTTGATGTCCAATAATGATGTCAAATTACGCTGATATTTGGTTAATTTTTGGTTGTGTTTGAAAGTGATCAAAACCCAATGTCAAGCCAACATCTTAAACCAACGTCATACTGATGTCAAATACTGACATTTATTCATCAGGCAACAAAAATCTAGTATCTTATAGACGTCATAGTGGTAACATTCACACAACGTCAAGCTGTAACATCATTAGATGTTGATATTTGGTTGATTTTAGGTTGGACGTTGGACATTGAGGTTGGCCTGATGTTGGGTTCTGATGTCAACCCCATTTTCATTTCCAAACAAAATGCAAGGGCCCCACGACGATAGAGTACGATGTCAGTCTGACGTCATAACGCCATTTCGGTCATCATACAGTAAACATCCGTCATCTTCTTATCGTTCACATCCATCTAAACAGTCTCTTGGACACTTTTAATGCTTCCAAATAGTTTGCTCCTATTATAAATCCCCCATGTCTAGAGGTAGTTCATACTGAGGCGATTTACCTTCTATGTGCGATTTGATTGGACAGGAATCACAAGACTTTTTTTAATCCCTAAAGACAAGAAAAAATAAAGTAGTGACTGCAGGGTGAAGGAAAATAGTGGGGTAAAAGTACCGATACAGCACTAAAATTGTACTCAAGGGAAAGTAAAAGTAGGCATTTTTAAAACCTCCTAGTAAATTACAATTTATGAGAAAAAATGTATAGGATATAGATTGTCACATTGCATAAACATAGAATGTGGTAATGATTTAAATGAGAGTTTAATTAACTTCAAGTGTGTGTGTGGGTGTGTGTGTGTGCACATACAGTATATATATATATATATATATATATATATATATATATATATATATATATATATATATATATATATATATATATATGTGTGTGTGTGTTTGTAAAAAATTTTGCTTAGCCCTCCTTAACATTTAGCAAGCAACTAAGACAGTCCAGTCTATTGACATTATCTAGGGACAATAGCCGTATTTCCACTGTCGGGCCAGTGCGAGCCAGGGCTTATATTGGGCCGGGCTGGGCCAATCGCCCGGTAGGTTGTCGCGTTTCCACTGTCGGGCTAGTAGCTGCAGTTGCAGAGTCACGCAAACCCCGCCCCCAGAACGTCCCCTTAATCAAAAGTCACACAACCCGCCCACTTCAGCGGGAATCAGGCAGATAAAGCACACCATCACGAAATCATTAAAATGAAGACAACCCAAACAAACCAACAAACGAAATGTTTCTGTACAGCATTACATTATATGCCTATACGCACATACCTGTGTGTTCTCATTCATCATCTTCATTTACTCGCCGACTCACCGCATCGTGGATGGAATAGTCTTGCCACAAACGGAGCAAACGCACCCATCCATAATATAAAACTACAGAAATTCTCTGTTAATAGCTCAGTAGAAAATGTATTTTATAACATCCTCATTTAGATTGACGCTGTCAAACATTCAGCCCAAATGCTTCGGCGAGAGCTCAAACATGTTACTTTTTCCCTATAGGCTATATCTTAATAGGTGATTCCCCTTTATTTAAAGATGTTGCATATTATTCTGTGATCTAAAGGTAAGTGTTAAGTTAAGCAAGTAATAAAATATAGCCTATATTCTGTTGCGCTCAGCAGCTTTTGACTAATAAGGCTCTACATGTAGGCTATCTAAAATGTGATTTTTAAATTTTACCACGTCATATAAAAGCATAAACACTTGTTTGAGGACACAGAACACATTTAGTATTTGCAGTTTTCTCTGGTGCGCTTAAAGAGGCACTGCGCAGTCAGGACTGCGTGACAGAAAAAAAGGTTGCCTAGCTTCTGCTTTCACTCACCCATAAATGCTCTGTTTGCCTGATTTGATTAATATCATTGTATCTGTGAAGGAGCTCTTTTTTGCTCGGTCTCACACACACATACAGGCATCTAAACGCACACAAACACACCTTTTAAACTTGACAAAAACTCTCGACAACCTTTACTGTCTGCTCTGTCTTTAATATGGCAAAAAGACCCCAGCCTATAAGGCTATATGTTTTCTTTCCCTTATTTATTTGTTTATTTGTTTGGGGAATGTACTCCTGTGCGATCAGAAAAGTGTCTGCCTCCCCTTTCACTCCGCCCCGAAGTCCCAGCTGGCCCTCTTTGCCCCGAGAAAGCCCCGCTTTGGCCCGATTAGGCCCCGGTACATCAAAGGCCAAAGACTATAGACTTCTTACCGCTGGATAGCCTGTTGAAGCAAAAGGAATTGTTTTATACTGAAACTTTCCTTCTAAAAGCGCTTCCTTGGTCTTATCCATATTTCTTTGCACGCTAAACACGCGCAGGGTTGGAGCAAGCAGAACTGGCGCTCTAGGTGAACGCCCTCAACGTAATTGTGAAAAAGAAAGTGACGCAGATGAAAGTGAGGACCGGGAGGGAGGGGGTGGGTGTTGTGGATGAAAGTGAGGACCGGGGGGTTCGTTCACTATTCTGCCACCCAAAGCGGCCGCCTAGGTCCGCAGGAAAACAGGAAATTAAAAAAACTGCATTTGCATTAATTGCGCAATTTTTTTTTAAAGCATTAAATTTTGTAAAATAATCGCATGCGTTAACACGCTAATTTTGACAGCCCTAATTGATTTATTTATTTATTTATACAACCGTTCTGCCTGCTTCTTAAATCTTATTGGCTGATAACCGTGCGATATTCTGCAATAAGACACTACAAATTAAAAAATATTCCTGCTGTTAGGCAACATAATGTACTTTTGAGACTTTTTTATTCAAGAATGTAGTTGTTTAAATTGCAACTATGTAGTTCATTTATAAGGATTGTGACTATTTTAAAATATTTATTATTACTAAGAGACAGCGTGGCGGCGGCCATTAGCCAGCCATACTGAGCTGACCAAAGACGGTTGATGTTGTCTATCCACATGCCGTTCAAAGTCACTTAAATCACCCTTCTTCCCCATTCTAATGATTGATTTGAACCGCAGCAGATCATTTTGATTGTCTACATGCCTTATATATATATATATATATATATATATATATATATATATATATATATATATATATATATATATATATATATATATATAAATTTAACTTTTTGACAGTGTGTTGTTTCATCTCTTTATGACAAGTTGATTAGTTCTTTGTGTTTTCATATTAATGAAAATTATGTTCTTATAAAATGGATTTCTACTTTTAAACATAATAAATGTTTTTTTATCAACATGAAATGATCTGTTGAAAGCAGCAGTTGTTTTGAGTTAGAATGCCAAATGTTTTACTTCTGTTCAAATTTTACATTGAAGGGTGCATTGTCCACCAGCGATTATAGTTTTATGTATTTAGTTTAATTACAATCTAATTATTGGAATTTAAATTTTATTATTCTGATTACACTATAATTACTGGTATTATAGTATTTAACCCTTTAAGGTGCACTCCTTGAAAATATTTTTTTGGCCCATGCTTGCATTTGATAATATACTGAAACAGCTCTGATAGTATTAAGCAATTAAAACAAAAATGTTAGCCTATGTATAAAAGGTCGACCAGGTGGATACGATGGCTATTAAAGGGATCTAAATACTGGAATTTAAATACATTGACAAGAATCTATCAGGAATAAAAAATAAATAAATAAAATTAGACCAAAAGTCTAAAAGTCTGCCATTAATCAAATTTTGCAGATGCAGGATCATATTCTCTCTCTTCTGTTTTTATTTTATTCATTTTTTTTATTTTGTACCTTTTTGTTTTATTCATTCATTTATTCATTCATTCATTTTCTTGTCGGCTTAGTCCCTTTATTAATCCGGGGTCGCCACAGCGGAATGAACCGCCAACTTATCCAGCAAGTTTTTACGCAGCGGATGCCCTTCCAGCCGCAACCCATGTCTGGGAAACATCCACCCACACATTTACACAAACACTCATAAACTACGGACAATTAAGCCTGCACCGCATGTCTTTGGACTGTGGGGGAAACCGGAGCACCCGGAGGAAACCCACGCGAATGCAGGGAGAACATGCAAACTTCACACAGAAACGCCAACTGAGCCGAGGCTCGAACCAGCGACCTTCTTGCTGTGAGGCAACAGCACTACCTACTACGCCACTGCCTCGCCCCTTTTTGTTTTATTATCATTTTATTAGAACGTTGCATTTGGGTCAGTGTTCTTTAATTGTTTGACTTTCCTCATTGTTTGCATATGTTTATAAAATGTGTCCATCTTTCCATCTAGACTTACAAGTTACAAGCCAGATTGTTCCCAAGCCATTCTGAAAGATCAGCAATCTTCTGCACAGTGCCATGTCTCAGTACAGACAACACTTGTTGAACCTTTCCAGCCTATGCTTGGAGCTCAGTATTTTGTTCTTGGTGAAATCGAAAGGACTAATGGTGAGTTTGGGTAAGACATTTATATAAACTGGCTGCTGTCGGCATTAAATATGGAAGCTTTTTTGTAATTTTGTTTAGAATGGTATTAGGTTGGTTGCTTTAACCAGTTTTTAATGTTGCTTCTGATTCCAGGATTAAGTGGAGTTATACTGCGTGCACGTTCTTTGGCTTGTGTTGAGGCAATAGACCTCAGACTAATGCAAGAAGCCATTGTGGAACAGAGATCTTTCTTTACATCGAGGTCTGAGTTGAATGTACAATGCAATTTGTAACAGTCAAGGTGACAATCAGGTTTGAACTGCTTGTTGTTTTTGTCAAACCCCTCTAAAGCAAACAATTGTTAATTTTTTAAAGATGCAAATAATTAAACTTTTTTTTAATGCTTTTTTTGTGTCCAATAGTAAAAACAAATCCATCTTCTTCCAGTAATAAAAGAGGAAAGCC